TAAAGTAGATAGCTAGTGGGAAGCAGCTGCATAGCACAGCGAGATCAGCTTGGTGCTTTTGGCCACCTAGAGGGGTGGGATAAGGAGGGTGGGAGGGAGACACAAGAGGGAGGCAATATAGAGATATATGTATACATTCACTTCACTTTATTATACAGCAGAAACTAACACACCATTGTAAAGCAATTATTCTCCAATAAAGATGTTAATATATATATATATGCAGAAATAGAAAGCATGAATGAATTTATTTTTTAATTTGATTCAAATTTTGAGATATTCAATTTTTAATACAAGGTGTTTCAGACAATGGAAAAAGAATGAGAACTCTCTGAATCATTTTATTATACTACTATAACTTTGACACAAAAATTTCAAGGATAATAAAAGAAAGAAAAACTAAAAGTCAGTTTTTACTTACAAACTACAAATATTTCAGATAAAATGGTGATATGACAATGAATTAATAAATAAAAAATTCAGTGATTACATAGTGGTTATCACAAGAATATAAAGATAATTTAATATTAGCAGAGCAACATAATTACTGCTTAATGCTGAAAATATATGTAAATATATTGATACACAAACAATATTTATAAAATTCAGCACACATTCACCAAGAACTCCTAGAAAACTAGGGACATCATTAATGTGATATATGTTTCCCAAGGTATAACAAACATATTATTTAATGATAAAACTTTAAGAAAATTTATTTTTTGTTTGAAACAATAAAATGATGTCTGCTTTCACTGCAATAACTAAACATTTTGCTAGAAGTACTGGATAGAAAATACTATACGAACATAGAAATGTGCGGCAGACAGACTGAGTAGAAATAAAAATAATTTTCATTATTTGGGGATGGTTTGATGATATACACAGCAAATCCAACAGACTCTACAGGCTAATTTTTAGAACTCAGTAGTTTTCAACGTTCCTGAATACAAAGTCCTAATACTGAAATCAATAGTATTCCTATAAACAAGGACACCTATAAAAATATATACATATTTTTAAATAATGCTATTCACAATAGAACCAAATTACAAGGCATGAAAAAAAACCTAGCACAAGGTATGAAAGACCTTCAGAAAGGAGTTATAAAATGTCAGAAGGCTTTGAAGAGGAATTACATTAGATAGATGACTAAGACAGCACATGTAGAAAAGATCTATCACAAGGAAGGGCTGTACTTCCTCAGCTCATCTGCAAGTTGACTGCAATCTTAGCCATTATCCCAATAGCTCTTTTATCATTATTTTGACAAAATGATGTTACAGTAATTACTGGTGACTAAATGGTCAAGAATACACAAGTCAAAGTTGAGGAAGAATAATGATGGTGAATTCCCATTAAAGAAGAGCAAACAGCTCTAAAGTAATGGTGATTGAAAGAGTAAGAGACTGCCAGAGCCAAGTAATATAAGACAATTATAATAGCTTTCCTAGAAGCTCACACAGAGACAAATGTATTTAAAAATATGGTGGCATTAATACCAGTGAAGGGCTTCCCTGTTGGTGCAGTGGTTGGGGGTCTGCCTGCCAATGCAGGGGATGCAGGTTCATGCCCCAGTCCGGGAGGATCCCATGTGCCGCGGAGCAGCTGGGCCCGTGAGCCGTGGCCGCTGGGCCTGCGAGTCTGGAGACTGTGCTCCGCAGCGGGAGGGGCCGCGGCAGTGAGGGGCCCATGTACCGCAAAAAACAAAACAAAACAAAACAAAACAAAAACAGTGAAAAGAAAGATGGATTATTAAATAAATGAAGCTGTAATTGGCTTTTCACATGGATAAACGAGTATGAATTTAGAGTCCTGTAACACAACCTATTCTTACCAAAATTTCAGGTGGATAAAACCCTACAATGTAGGAAAGTATCTTTTTAACTCAGGTAGAAAACGACAGAAAAGGAACAACATACAAAGGAAGTGTAGATCAACTTCATTACAGGGAAGGCTCATCTATTTAAAATGTGAAAAACACCATAAAATAAAAAAAGAAGGGTCTGCAATAAAATACTGCCATCATTTAAACACTGGTAGATTTAATATAACCCTTCATATTCAGCTTCCCTCACAATTCAGATGCCAGGTATCACTTTGGCCCCATTTTACATGTCAACGACGTATGGGAACAGATGAGAACTGGCATTTTATGTGGGGTTTAGAATCCACAGTGCCCTTGGTCTTGATGATGCTGAAGAAGTGTCAGGTGTCATTTTCCTCCCCAGTTGCAGTGTCATGTTTCCTATAGTAAAGGATAAAGTGAAACATTTTCATACACGTGGCTTACTTTCTTACACCTCTTTTCACTCTTAGTTTCTCCTTCTGGTCTTTGTAGACATTGGAGTACTGTCCCCTGCACTGCAAACTACAATGCCTACTATGGACCCCATTATAGCACTATGTTTAAATTCTACTAAGGACAGTAACATGCATGCATCCTATCTACTAAAACTGGAATGCTTTTTTGAGGTAAAGTAAGAAGACTGGACTGCACAGCTGTGGTGGTTTAAAAAAGCATGAAACATGGATATTTATCAAGATAATTTTAACCAATACCCATGACTTATCCTGCAGATATTTTTCTGGATATCTGATTCTCCATCTCTAAACAACCAGTCTAACTTATTTCCATGTAGCTGGCTTTAGCTCATCATTCATCTATGATGATTTTTGTCGTGTATGCAAATGGTGCAAATTTCCATTAGTGTTCTGCAAACCTTCTATGTCAGGGCTTCCTGTTTCCAACTGTCCTGTACTAATGCCTATTGTTCTCATTAATGACAAGCAATCTGACTTATCAGCATCAATAAAGATCTTAAAGTTTCTGCCATATACTAGGATTCCTGATTCCTGGTTATACCACCTTAGCCACTTGAGAACAATTGGTAATTGCATAGCCTATGTTGTTTTGTTTTGTTTTGGGTTTGTGTGTTTGTTTGCTTTCGCAATATTTGGATTTGTATCTAATGTATAGGCTAAATTTTATTAAAAGACCAGTATTTTTAAAGTTTTCTTGCCTTTGAAATAAGACGAACTTGTCTCAGAAGTATTCTGTCAGATGTCCCTCTGAATTCCAGATAGAATATGTCTACTACTTTTTTCTTAGCTACTATTACCCATGTTGAATTTATATTGATATGCTTTCTTTCAGCAGACAGAAATTATTTTCTTATAATATTTTCTTTTATTTCTTCATTCATACAATTAACAAAAATAAATTGATCAGTCTATCTTCTATAGTACTGACACTTTTTGACATCTTAAAAATTGAATCTATATTTTCTTAGATTACATCATCCATCCACAGTTATGCAGAATTCCTGAAATCTCATTCAACGTGTTCAACAATCTAATTTGTGAAATAATATTTTTAGGAGAAAAGAATTTTTTTAAAGTTTGACTTTAAAATGTAATAAATAATGTACTGGTGCTAGAATATATTAATTTACACTTCTTGGTAGATTTTCTTAAAATGTGAATAAGGTTTATTTTAATTTATTCAAAACATATTATAAGAGTTTGGTTAAAACTCATTATTTTAATTAAAAAAAAAACTCATGAAATTTCAAGTAATAATTCAGAGACAAATAGGTTTTACAAAAATTATAATTTTAAGTTATAGCTATAATTTCATTATTTTTATTTTGGATCAGGAATCAGACACCCTCACTACATATCTTCAAAAATTTATAAAAATGTGTTTCTCAGTGTTTTAAAAAATGAATGCCAGATAAACATATTGCTCTTTCTGTTGAGACAGTAAAATAAAAGTTAACTTGCAAAGATGATTCAAATAATTGATCTGCAGATGAAACTACATTAATGAGTACAAAACTGAGTTTGAAAGAAAAACTAAAAACATGAATTTGCATGTGAAATGCAATTCCTTTTCCAAATGAATTTTCTTAGTCAACAAACCTTGATCAATCAGCTTCCTATCAAATGACATTGCATTAGATTACTGAATGATTACTTGCAGCAAAGAATGCAGTATTCAGTATTTTGGCATTCAGGATAACTTGTAGTAAGGTAAATCAATACAGTCATGCCTGAACATTTAATCAGGCATTTAGTTAATATGTTGTGTATGGTTTATAACCATAAACCCATGAACCTTGGCATTTATTAGTTCTGTTATTTGTCTTTGCCATCATTACACTGAAGATGACCAAACACCATCTGCCACGGATTACTGAGACTTTACATTTTTGACATCATTTAACCTATTAAATTTCACCATCTTTTCAGCAGATATAACTCTGTTGATATAATAGTTAAATGTGATCCAGGCAAATCCTTGCTGGCTCCCCAGTGGGACAGTTCCATTTCTTCATTTTATTTTGTTTATTTCATATCAAATGAGTCATTCATGAGGACGCCTATTAGTAGCTAAGTCAACAGGAAACATGCATGTTTTATGATGATTAGTAATTCTTGACTTATTTTTAATACATTTTAGTATGACTTTCCAGCAGCTGAAACCAAGGCTATCTGAAATGATACTAATAAAAGAAGTTCGGATTGCCAGAGAGCAAGCACTACAATGCCAATACCTGTGGTGCTCATCTTTCTTAAAAGGTACAAAAATAAGTTTCCTACTGTGACATCCACTACACCAAAGAGCCTTCTCTGAAAATCACCCCTTCATTATGTCTTTGTAATTACTGTTTTCTGTCTGCTGAATCTTATGCAAGCTGTGAGATTCTGAATTATGGATCTGGGAGAGTTACAGGAACATAACTGGCTGCAGTACACTGGGCTGTGTATGTCAGTCCTCAATACACATTCTGTCATCTGTACTCACTTTCAATGAGTTGATCAAAATTCTAACTTACAGAACCTTATGGTAAATTTCTCATTTAACAAGTGTTGAGCATCCCTGGCAGGTAAGATATTGTATACAGCAGCACCCAAGAGACAAACTCTTTGCCCTTAAAACCTTCATTTTTAGGAAGAAATAGCTCAGCATGAAATGTCATCTCTGTTTTCATTTTATGGTCTGCAAGTTTTGATTATAGAATTATATTTGGACTGGACATTAGCAAGCAGACATTTTGCCCCATACGTATTTAACAAACCAGCCAATACATAATAGAAGCTCAATCAAAAAAGAACACAATGGCATGGAATTATACTCTAGAACACTTTCCAGAAGCATAAGTATAAAAGAACATTTCCTTATAAAAGTTCAGTACATGGATGAAGGTAAAAGGTGAAACTTTCCAAACCGCAGGAAATATTCTTTCAATAAGCATTTATTAAGTACCAATACATATGCCACCTACTATGCTCAGTGCTGGCTTTGTAGTCTGATGATACAGACTTATTGCACAAATTATCTTATATATCTGATATTCAGTCACATCAGATAGTAAAGGATCACACAAATGTTACTTTCTTCATCAAAGATTAGACCTTTATATGAATGAATTGTAATTATCTAACAAAGCAAACCCTGGACAGGTGAAAATGGAGCAGGACGGAAGGAAGCAGTTGCACCATCAGGCATATCAAATAAATCAGTGCTGGCCGGGAAATGGGATGACAGGGTCTGTAGCAGGCCATGCTCACAAGCCAGAGACCAGCTGGCCCAGTCATTTTCAAACATAGCTACAATCAGATCCACTGGGAAGACTTTAAAAGTACACATTGAACACTCACAGCCCTCTCCAGAGCATTTAAAACTGAACAGCAGTACTTGGGGTTTGCAGGTTATTCTAATGTGCAGTTGGGGTTGAGAATTTTAGCAATATCTCTTGTTAATTCAAATGAATATTGAATATTGAGAAATACCCCTAAAAAATATACATTTTTCCCAAATGAGAAAATCAATACTCTGTATATCCTAGATCAGATGATTGTCTTGCTACTTTCCTTTCCCTTCAATATCTAATTCAAATTTGTTTAACCCCAACAAACTCTAGATCCTAAAATCACATACAATCATAATGAAGTAGGCAGCAGTAGTCCTCAAAGTGTGGTCCCAGGGCTGGCACCACTCCATCACCAGGGGAGGTGTTAGAAATGTCAATGGTAGAGACCTACTCAGACCTAGCAGGGGCTGGGCCCAGCAATCTTTGTTTAGCATGTTCTCCTGGTGATTCTGATGCTGCACAGTCAAGTTTGAGAACCATTAGTCCATCAAAATATTGTAATACTGTAACGAATTGGAATGTAGAAGTTAAAAATATTTTTAAAAGCCACAAGAAATAAACTCATACATTGACCTGAATTCTCTTAAAATGAGATCAAAGAAATTCAAGAAAAAATAGTATATTGATCATAGTATTGGAAAATGAAATGGGGCATCATCAGTGGACCAGATATTTTAAGGAACTCCTAGAAAATAGGAAATGGATGGGAATGAATCATGAAACACACACACACACACACACACACACACACACATGATGGAGCTGAGATCAAAAGGAAACCCAGAGAAATCCCAGAGTGAACCAATGAAAAGGGTTGCAGGGACTCCTATGGCAATCTCTTGAATAATTAAAGATATTTATTCCCAACTGCAGAACTAGTGGGTACATTCCTCCTATGCTTCTTAAAATAGTGAAGTTTGGATAGATACAAAATTCTGAAGTTTCCCATCTAAATGGCTAATGGCCTACTGGTGAAGGTTGGTAAGGTTAGGAAGTTAGTGATTGAAATAAGAAGCAGAACAGGTATTGAGTTAATTCTGAACTTCATCATCCACTACAGCTCTCAAAAAATAAATAAATAAATTAAACTAAATGAAACAAAACAAAAAAGTAAAGGAAAAAACAACAACAAAGTAACCAAGTCTACCCAAGAAATAGGAGTGTATTGTGATCATGGCTCTTGTGGGTCCCTTTCTCTGTAAAAAAACATAATACCATTATGTTTTGTTAGTGACTTGGTATATCTATATATCTCCATATATCTATCTGTATCCATCTAGCTATCTATCTACATTCATGAGTTTAAATCTGGCAAAGATTTCAAACTGGATTTCATTAAAATGAAAAAATAAACAACTTGTGTTTCAAAGAAGGTGAACAGACAACTCACAGAATGGGAGAAAATATTTGCAAATCATATATTTGATAATAAACTTGTATCCAGAATATATAATGAACTCTTACAACTCAATAATAATAATAATAATAATAATAATAATAATAATAAAACTAAAAACATAGGCAAAGAACTTCAATAGATATTTCTCCAAGAAAGAAATATGAAAGGCCCATAAGCACAGGGAAAGATGCTCCACACCATTAGTCAGTAGGGAAGTGCAGATCGAAAGCACAATGTATTGTCACTCACACAGACTAGAATGGGTAGCACAACAAAATCAGATAGTAATCAGTGTCAGGGAGCCATGGCCACACTGGAACCTGCACCAAAGTGGTGCAGCCACTTTGGTAAAGTGTGTGGTTGTTTCTCAAATGATTAAAGATAGAATTGTCAGATGACCCAGGAATTCTACTGCTAGATATACACCCAAGAGAAATGAAAATACTTGTTCATTCAAAATGTTATACATGACTGTTTAGAGCAGCATTATTCATAATAGGCTAAAGGTGGAAAGTACCTAAATGTCCATCGACTAACAAAAAATATAAACAAATGTAGTCTATCCATACCATGAAATCATGTTGAGCCATAAAAAAGAATGAAGGACTGACACATGCTAAACATGAATAACCTTGGAAACATCATGCTAAGTCAAAGAAGTCAGTCACAAAGGCCATATATTATACAATACCATTTATCTGAAATCCCACAAGAGGGAAATTGATAGAGCAAGAAAGTAAACTAGTGGTTGCTTAGGGCTGAGAGTTGGGGAGATATAGAAGAGTGAGAGCCAAAAGGTAGGGGTTCCTCTTTGTGATAATGAAAATACTAAAAGGTGTATTTAAATAAAATATTTAAAAATTCCCACATCTATGAAATATTAAAATTTACATATTTATGAATGTGCAAAAAGCCAATGAATTGTACATGAGGTGAATCATATGGTATTTGAATTATATCTCAATAAAGTTATTTTAAAAAATTTACTTAGGAATATGCAGAAGTAAAAAGTACATCCAAAGGAATAAAAACTGTGATATAAATTTGGCACCAAGATATGGAGTATAACAAAGCAGTGATCTCTACAAACATAAGACAAATATAAAGCTCACAGAACTCAGGCTAACAGGCCAGGACAACAGGAGTTGTTTACACATCAGGAAAAATAATGAAAAAGAAATGGAAAATTATGAGACCAGATTTCTGTGGGGAAAAATGGGATGCAGTGTGTATATATGTGCTATGTTTTTAATAAGAATTCTAGAACAATTTAGCGCTTCAAGCTAATTGCATGTATAATTTGATTTAAAGGTAAACATAAAACAATGCCAAAATATTCCAAGAAAAAATAATTAAGGAGTTCTAGAAAATACCTGCCCAGTATTCTTCAAAAGTGTCCAAGTCATGGAAAATAAGAAAAGACAAAAGTTTCATTGATTAGAGTGGATGAAAAAGGATGAACTCCTGGTAAAGAAAGGGGTATAAATGGAAAAACTGGTGAAATCCAAGCAGAATCTGGGGTTTGCTTAATAGCACTGAACCGATGTCAGTGTCTCAGTTTTAATTTCTCAGTTTTGAGAAACATACCATAGTTAGGTGACTTTATAATGTTAGGAAAGGCCTAGGGAAGGGCCTGTATGGTGTTTTGCAGCATTCCTGGCTTCCACCCATTAGATGTAAGTAACATCCTCAGCTCAGTCCCTCAACCCAGTTAGAGATTTTCTGTGATGTCCCTTGGGGCGGGGATGGGAGCAGCAAAATTGCCTCAAGTTGGGGACCATGGATCTACATTAATCTCCCGTGTCAACTAACCAAATGAAACCCATTATCTCTTGGAGTGTGAGGAGAAGAAACAGCATATTTAATGTTTATGAAAATCACTTTTAATTAATCAACATATTGATTTACCAATGAAGGTATATATAGTTAGAGGCCATTAGCTCATGGCTGCCTGAAGCTCCCCAGCAGAAAGACTCATTTTTCCAAGGGTGTTTAACTGCAAACCAAAATGACACCCATTGGACTGCACTGCAAATAGTATGTGGGAAGCACAGTAGATACTGGGAAGAAAAAGTACACTTTAAGAAATCTATACTCAATTACATAATGTCCACTCTCACGATTATGATACCATCTTAAGAGGCTCTTAGCTATAAAAGTCACTGCTATCTTTATTAAGGAATGTCTTATTAAGAAGAAAATGATAGCACAGAACTTTCTGTTTTCAAAAATTATATACTAAGGAAGCATTACTTAACTAAGGAATCTGGAGGGAATGAAAATGGATCAGTGAGTGGGAAGTGTCATAGATCTCACTCTCCAGCACCCTGTGGCTAATAGCACCTTCCCTCCCCAACAACTCGTCCCTCTCTGACCTGTGGAAGCTTTCTCATCTTTCTCACTAAGCTCCTTTTCTTTTTTATTTTTAGCTTTTTTTTTTTTAAACATCTTTATTGGAGTATAACTGCTTTACAATGCTGTGTTAGTTTCTGCTTTATAACAAAGTGAATCAGCCATATGTATACATATATCCCCATATCTCCTCCCTCTTGCATCTCCCTCCCCCCTTCCCTATCCCACCCCTCTAGGTGGTCACAAAGCACCAAGCTGATCTCCCTGTGCTATGTGGCTGCTTCCCTCTAGCTATATATTTTACATTTGGTAGTATATATAACTCTATGTCACTCTTTCACTTCATTCCAGCTTCCCCTACGTCTGTGTCTTTATTCCTGTCCTGCCCCTAGGTTCATCAGAACCATTTTTTTTTTTAGATTTCATGCATATGTGTTAGCATATGGTATTTGTTTTTCTCTTTCTCATACTTCACTCTGTATGACAGACTCTAGGTCCAACCACCTCTCTACAAATAACTCAATTTTGTTTCCTTTTATGGCTGAGTAATATTCCATTGTATATATGTGCCACATCTTCTTTATCCATTCATCTAATGATGGTCACTTAGGTTGCTTCCATGTCCTAGCTATTGTAAATAGTGCTGCAATGATCACTGTGGTACATATCTCTTTTTGAATTATGGTTTTCTCAGTGTATATGCCCAGTAGTGAGATTGCTGGGTCATATGGTAGTTCTAATTTTAGTTTTTTAAGGAACCTTTGTACTGTTCTCCATAGTGGCTGTAACAATTTACATTCCCACTAACAGTGCAAGAGTTCCCTTTTCTCCACACCCTCTCCAGTATTTATTGTTTGTAGATTTTTTTGATGGCAATTCTGACAGGTGTGAGGTGATACCTCATTGTGGTTTTGATTTGCATTTCTCTAATGATTAGTGATGCTGAGCATTCTTTCATGTGTTCATTAAGCTTTTTTTTTTTTTTTTTTTCGGTACGCAGGCCTCTCACTGTTGTGGCCTCTCCCGTTGCGGAGCACAGGCTCCGGATGTGCAGGCTCACGGGCTCAGCCGCTCTGCAGCATGTGGGATCTTCCTGGTCTGGGGCACGAACCCGTGTCCCCTGCATCGGCAGGCAGACTCTCAACCACTGCACCACCAGGGAAGCCCCATTAAGCTTCTTTTAATAGCCTCAACATTTACCTGTTTGCCTTTCAGATCCAGAAAACATTGCTTCTCTTGGATTTGCTACTTACTTTGCCAGCCTCTACTTTCTGCACCTCTACTGGCCAGCCCAGCAGGTACCTCCTGCATCTGCTTTTTTTTTTTTTTTCTGGAGAACATTTTCACACCGCCAAACTCAATCACTGTAACCAATTACCCAGTGGCCTTTAAACACTGTTTTTGTTGTCAGGTGCTTTTTATTTGTTAGTTGAAACCGTGAGTCACTCTTCTGTAGATACATAGATTACCACGAAAAATGGAAAAAAGAGAAATTGCATTAATGTCCAAAGGGAAAAAAAATATCTGTATATGAATGTACGAAAGCTTAAAATTATAGGAGAGTCTTCATAAAATCAGTGTTGTCAGGACTAAAATATAAATCATGGCCTACTCTCACCATTTCCTTTAGAGGCAAATTGCAGAAAGTAACATTAACAACAATTGTAGAAGAATAAAATATCATCCCATTTACTGAAACAAAAACTAGTTTTTAAAATTTTTTCCTTAAAAGAGCATTCAAATGAATTATGTTCATTTTTTTTTTTACAGTAATGCAAGCGAGTGGCCTTCCATCAATACCCTATCTGCAATTCTTCTTTACTGTGGAAATTATTATGCTTTTTCCCTCTAAATGTCAAGTACAAAAATAGAGTCAAGACTGCTGGTAGGGATGTAAAATGGTATAGACACTGTGGAGAACAGTTTGGTGTTTCCTCAGAAAGTTAAACAGAGTTACCATATGACCCAGCAGTTCTACCCTAGGTAGACACCCAAGAGAAATGAAAACATTGGTCCACACAATATTTTGTACATGAATGTTTATAGCAGCATTATTTATAAAGGTGGACACAGCCCAAATATTCACCAATTGGCAATGGATAAATAAAATGTGATATATCAACACCATGGAATAATGTTGGACCATAGAAAAGAATGAAGTTCTGACACATGCTACGACATGGATGGACCTTGAAAACAATAAGCTAAGTGAAAGGAACCAGTCACAAAAGACCACATGTTATATAATCCCATTCATAAGAAAATCCACAATAGGGAAATCTATATATAGAGAGAAAGCAGATGTGTGCTTGTTTAGGGCTGAGGGGAGGGAGAGGTAGATGGGAGGGTGATAGTTATAGGGGACAGGATTTCTTTTTGAAGCAATGAAAATGTTTTCAGATTGACTATAGTGATGGGTGCACATTCACATCTGTGAATGTACTGAAAGCCACGGAACCCTGCACTGTAAACGGGTGAATTTTGTGGGATGCGATGAATGATACCGCAATAAAGATGGAGAGACAGTGAGAGAGAGAAAGAGAGAGAGAGAGAGGGAGAGAGAGAGAGATCCTAAGCCCCTCTGTCCAGAGCCAAAGTCCTGCTAACAGCAGCGGGAAAAGCAGGGGCTGAAGGCCAGGACCTCCGGACAACCAGACGCACCAAGGCTGACGCTGTGCCGACTGACATCATCCCACACCCCGGCCGCTGTTCGCACGCGCCGCCGGGCCGGATGTGGGCATTCGCGTGCCCTTGGCTGCGCGCTCTCCTTACGTCCAGATGCCAACGGTCACCTGAGACCTGGGCACTTCGCTTGCGGCCAGTCCGGCGACCAGGGGAACTTCTGGAAGCCAAATACGTCCCCGGGGCCGTCTCTCCTCCGCTGGCTCCCATGCGCAGGTACCAGAGCGCACCAGAGCCCGAGGCCCCTGCCCGCCCGGCCCAGGGCGCTGGGTGCGTCCCGCCCGGACCCCTCCCCAGACGCCGAGGGACTGGGACCTCACCTCCGAGGGTGGTCGCGGACGCGTGGAGGCACCTTCCCGCCCAGCCGCCCCTGGAGACAGTCGTGGGGCCGAATGTTTCCGGCCCCAGGGAGAGTGACATGAAGCGGTGGCACCCGAGCACCCGGCACCCCCCAGGGACCTGGAGCCAGGTGACGGTCAAAATCACTCCCCCTGAGCACAGGCTGAGCCCTGGCGCATCCTGGCGGCGCGCACCCGTCGAGGAGCGCCCAGATCCCTGTGCCAAGGAGACGGTGCTGCAGGCCCTGAGCCGCTGCAAGAAAGGAGAAAGGAAGTTTGATGGACCGCTCTGGTTTGAGACCGCAGAGCCCAGGCCGTCCGCCTTCAGGCCACTGACTAAAAACGGAGTAGTCCCTTCCTTTGTGCCCAGGCCGGGGCCTCTGGACAGAAGGCTCCGCGCCTGCAGCTACAATGTCTGCAAGGAGGAGGCTGTCCCTGGGCCTGAGGTCCAGCCTTGCGGGTCTGCCGCCCACCCAGCCGCAGCGACAGCGTCACCCCAGGGTGCAGATGCTCAGCTGGACTGCTGCGAGAAGATGCAGCCCCCGCGGGGCCTCGGGCAGTCCTCCAGAGCACGAGAGGAGCACGAGAGCGCACACGCCCAAAGCATCTAATTTAGCCCAAAGCATCTAATTTAGCCCGAGGGACGCCTAGCCGGCTGGCCCCTTTGGCTCCTAAGATTCAGGACCCTGCTATCCACCTTCTGAGACTCAAGTCTACATATCTGTTCTCGTCTTGCAGAACCCTTGTTCTACCCCAGCATGGGACTCTGACATTGCTGCAGCCCCCAGACCGGCCAAATCCCCAGAACCCCAGTCCTTATTCTGCAGAGCCCATGCTTAGGTCGTTGATATCAAAACCCTTGCCTCCCCCTGTCGGCCCACTCCTTCCTGCCTCTCTTTGCTTTTCAGGAAGGCATACTTCTTCCCCACCTCCCCTGTTTGCCCGGTTTGTATAGTTAAATATTTGATCTTATTGTAAATAGTATTAACATTTTAAAAAGAGATTTTCATGTAAAAATAAAGGGAAAGTGTGCCCCAGACTGGCAAGAGCAAAGGCAAAGACTCAGAATTGGGAACAATTTTTATTTACCTGAGGTCTACATGTAAGTTCAGTAGCTAGAGTACTGAGAGAAAAGATAATATTTGATTGCAGACATAGACTTTGATGAAGCAATGTAAGGCATTGAGGGAAGGTAAAAAGTGTGATTTTATTAAAGACCCATAGGTTTTAAGCAGAGAAAAAACTAATATTTTTATATTAACAGACAAATCTTTCTGTCTGTTATGAGGAGGGGATTATCCACAGGCAGCAATTAAAACCGAAACAAGAGGAGCTCAGTGCTGTATACTTCAGGCAAGAGATGAGGATGTTTGGGTCTGAGAGGGAAGTAATGGATATGAAGACACACCCGAGTTTAGGGCATGTTTGGCAGATGGGTATCTTGTTAGTGTACCAGATGACAGCATTAGAACAGTGGAAGACTCCTAGGGTCTTAGTTTATTGACTTAGAAACTGCAGGATGCTAGTGCCGTGTATTGGGATGGGGACACCAATAGAGAAAATATTTGGAGAAATCAAGAGTTTGTTTTGGTCATGTTTCCTCAAATACATACCTTTGTTATCCCAGTGGAGGTGTTGCCTGTGCAGTTTGAAAACATGAGCCTGGAACTTAGTGGAGAGTTTGAAGCTAGAGAAAGAAAAGTCATGAACATAGAAGCTCACATATACCATGTACATGGTGCTTAAAGCCAAGGGCTGCATGAGATCACCTATGCTGAAAATATGGAGAAGCGGGCTAAGGATGAAGCTTGCAGGGCGTCGATGCTTAGAGGGTGAAGGAAGGGAGAGGGGAGGATAAGAAGCCTGAGAAGGAACAGCTCTTGAGGTGGGAGAAGATTCAGAAGCAGCAGGGACACTGAGGGGAGAATTCTGGAGGGTGGGATTCATCCACCGTGTCTGCTGCTGCTGGGAAGTTAAGGCCAGAGACGTCCCATCACTGAGTTGGAGAGGAGAGATTGAGTGTTGGAAGTAAAGGCCTGAACTGACTTAGAAGACACTAGGTGATGTGGGCTTGGAGGTGAGGACTGGAAAAACCACGGGGTAGATCGTAAGTTGTGAAGTGAAGCAGGCAAGTGGGATGCTGGAAAGGGTTTCGCTCTGGCATTAAGTTTTGTTTTCAGAAAAGGTAGGGAAAATGTTTCAGCAGTAAAGTGTTCTTCAGGGAGATCTGAGGGAGGGACTCAGGTGCTGGTGGAGGTTGGGCAGCACTCAGACATGTGATCCATGATAGCAGCTGGGACCTGGGGAGGTCAGTCCCCTGTCTTCTGCTCGGTCAGTGAGGTAAAATGAAAGACTGTCAGCAAAGACAGAAGAGGAGGGAAGTCTTTGATGCTTGAGAAAAAAAAAACAGATGTGAAATATAATTCTCAGACTGGGACAAAGTGGTAGGACTATGAGAAAATATAAAGGGGCCCTTTCAGATTTGGGTTCTTAAAGGGAAACTAGGAAATATGATGAATGCATTTCTCTAGATTTTATTTTACCTGAACTAGTACAAAGGAAGATTGAGTGCACAATTGGTTTTAACCATTATAGAAGATTGAGTGCACAATTGGTTTAACCACTATAATACTTTAAACAGTATGGTTTTTACTATCATATTCCAAAAGCATTTAATAAAGGGGGAAGAAGCAAGGGAGTTAGAATATGTATTAGTCAGGATGCTCCTGAGAAACTGACACAGTGTGTGTGTGTGTGTGTGTGTGTGTGTGTGTGTGTGTGTGTGTGTGTAACGGAGAGAGAGATAGAGAGCACAAGATTTATTTTAAAAAATGGACAGAACTTGCTGACTTAATTGTGGAGATTGAGTCCCAAGATGTGCAGTCAGCAAGCTGGTGAACGGCAGGGGGAAGTCGATGCTGTGAGTTCCTGTCCAAGTCTTAAGGCAGGAGATCAATGTCCCAGCTCAGGGACAGGCAGGTGGAGTGATGATTCTCTTACTCAGCCTTCTGTTCTGTTCGGGTCTGCTGTGGGCTGGATGAGGCCCGTCCACACTGGAGAGGGCTTTCTGCTTTACTAGTCTATGGATTCAGCTGTTAATCTCATCTAGAACCATCCTCACAGACACACCCAGAAATAAAGTTTAACAGGATATCTGGGCTCCTTATGGCCCAGTCAAGTTGACACATAAAATTAACCATCAATGGGTGTTTTTAAAATAGGAATTTTCCTTTGGATCATGGAATCACAGCTGGTTAAGAAGAAATTGATGAGGGAGACAGGTAATGAAAACTCTGGCAAGAACAGCCTATGAGGGGTCTTGAAGTTGAACATTTGTCCTGTAAAAATAACTAAAACAAGCCGGAAGGACAGAGTAGAAAGAGGATTTTTTGAATTTGCAATTTGAGAAGATTCATGATGAGGGTCAGGGGTGGGAGAATGAGGTGAGGGGACCAGAAACCTATACATGTCCTAGAGGAAGACTGAGAATTGGGCAGATGGATTTTAAAGGAAATATAAATAGTGACCAGAATGGGCCAAGAATGAAGATCATGAGGTAGGAATTTTGAGTTTTAGTGAATGAAGGGGAGGTAGTAGCAAAATAGGAGTGAGAAGAAGAAGAAGAGCAGCATGTGGTTCCTAAGATCAGGAGTCTCAAAGCAATGCGGGCTTTTGAAGGACAAAAAGGAAATGAGAGTTTGGAAGGAGTGAGCATGACTCAGGAAGGCACCTGCTCCTCGTCCATCCAAGGCGGCCTGGGAGATTCGAGAAAGTGAGCTCTGCTTCCAGCTGAGGAGCAGTGCATCCACGATGACCGAGGGGAGGAAGTCGCAGAGGATGCTGCAGAAGTTCAGCTCTGTGGGGATTTTCTAAGGACTCATCATGAGTTTCCAAAATCACCTTCCAAGTGGGAGGCATGGAAGACAGGATGGGGGATGAGCCGGAACTGTGATCCTGATGGGCTCGTTCACAGCAGTGCCTCAGAGCACTGTGGTCTGTCCGTCAAGTTCTAGGACAGAATATTTATCTGGGATAGATGGAGAGGTTTTACTGAGAGATTGCACTGCCAGCAGAGCATAGGGAGTCTTCTGCTGGTGCAGCACAGATGCCTGGCAATATGGGACAGGAAGAGACAGATGACTCCCTGGGGTAGAATAGAGATTTCTGAAGCAGATACGTAAGAATTTAATATATGATAATGGTAACATTTAAAAATCTGTGTTATAATAGTGAGCTACTAAAAACTTGATCCTCTCATATCCAATTAGGAAATAGAAGACAGCTTTCTGTCTCATGCAAGAACACAAATGTAAAGATCAAAATTATGAAGCTGGCTGAAAATTAGAAGAAAATGTTTTGTTTCCTGAGAGTAAATTAATTAAATTACACACATAATAAATAAATTTTGATAATTTAAGCTTTATAGATAATGTGAAAAGCCCTCCACGAATCTCCTCCTTTGGCATCTTTAAGGAGACTAAGCACCTAGAAGCCATAAAGGAAACGTTTGTGATAGCTAATGTTTTAAAAACCTACCTTAAAATAAAATAGAACAAAAACTTTGAGGGCAAGTGACAAGGTAGGACATTACATTTATTACCCACAGAGCAGATGACAAATTGCTATTCCACAAGTGTAAGGAACCGCTAAATAACAATAAAAAAAAAAAAGAGAGAGAAATGGGAATTACTAAAACTTTAACTACACAATTCATATAAGAAAGAATACAAATTATTAATAAACATATACAAAGTATTCAAATATATTCTAGTTACTTAAAGAAATGTATCTGTCTCTATCTCTTCAATATATCTACATCCACACATGGTAGTTATACCCATCTTTGCCAAAAACAAGGTATGCTAATATCCATCCTTGGCAAGATTGTAGGAGAAATAATAATATGTTAATTGAGTAACTGTAAATTCTCATTGTGTGTAAAATTGTAACTATATTCTTTTATTTTGGCATTGTGATTTAATTTCTTAAAAATAAAACCCAAGCAGTTTTATTAATATCAAGTTCATAGTGATACCATCTTGATATCCCTCCCCACTCTTTCTTCCAGCTTCACCACAACCTTAATACACACCCCAAAACATGTCCATGTGCACAAACACAATCATCAGGCCAAGTTCCTGTACTCTGCATAATAAACACACAGCAATTAAAGCCATGAACACTGAGTCACAGGAAGATACAGAGGAAAGAATGCATGACCTAGGGTCAACTTTTGATAAGTAGTTTTGTATATTCTACAATAGTTTAAGAAATATTTTAAATTATGTTAATAAAGTAACAGATAAACTGATCAGAGACCAAAGGCTGTGGAACCTACAGGAAAAAAAAAGAAAGGGCTAGAATAAAGCTTTAAGAACAGAGCTTACTAGGTTTTCTTTAACTGAATACATTGTTAATGAGATTCTAAAGACAAAACACACACAGTTTTTAGAGGATTTTCGGGCATTTTTTAAATGGTAAAAATGACTTCTATGGTTTCTTTAAATTGTTAAAGATTTAAAAATCATTAAAAATTATACCAACATAAAATGGCAGCTAGTAATAAAAGTAATCATGCTAAACCACAGAGTTTTCAAAAACCCCAAGTGGT